GTGGCAATTTGAGGTTTGGAGTCTTTCCAATATGGATTGACCCATGTTTTATCAGATTGTTTCGAAGTCGTGGCGGTATGAGGTTTGTAATCCTTCCAATATGGATTGACCCATGGTTTATCAGGTTGTTTCGAAGACGTGGTGGTATGAGGTTTGTAGTCTTTCCAATATGGATTTACCCATGATTTTTTTTGTTGTTGTTTGGAAGACGCAGCAGTATGAGATTTGTAGTCCTTCCAATATGGATTAACCCATGGTTTATCTTGTTGTTTTGAAGGCGTGGCGGTATGATGTTTGTAACCCTTCCAATATGGATTTACCCATGGTTTATCTTGTTGTTCTTTGGAATACGAAGCAGTATAAGGTTTGTACCCTTTCCAATATGGATTTACCCATGGTTTTTCTTGTTGTAATTTGGAAGACGCAGCGGTATGAGGCTTATAGTCCTTCCAATATGGATTTACCCATGGTTTATCTTGTTGTTTGGAAGGTGTGACGGTATGAGGTTTATAGTCCTTCCAATATGGATTTACCCATGGTTTCTCTTGTCGATGTTTGGAGGATGTAGCGGTATGAGGTTTGTAGTCCTTCCAATATGGATTTATCCATGGTTTATGTTGTTGTTTTGAAGGCGCGACGATCTGAGGTTTGTAGTCTTTCCAATACGGATTGACCCATGGTTTATCTTTTTGTTGTTTGGAAGACGTAGCGGTATGAGGTTTGTAGTCCTTCCAATATGGATTTACCCATGGTTTATCTTTTTGTTGTTTTGAAGGCGCGACGATCTGAGGTTTGTAGTCTTTCCAATATGGATTTACCCACGGTTTCTCTTGTTGTTTTGAAGACGTGACGGGCTGAGGCTTGTAGTCCTTCCAATACGGATTAACCCATGATGTATCTTGTTGTTTTGAAGGCGCGACGGTCTGAGGTTTGTAGTCCTTCCAATACGGGTTAATCCATGGTTTATGTTGTTGTTTGGAAGGCGTGGCGATCTGAGGTTTGTAGTCTTTCCAATATGGATTGACCCATGTTTTATCTTGTTGTTTTTCGACGGTTGGTGTTCGAGATGCATCGTGTTTCCAAGATTTAATCGATGGTGTTGTTGATTGTGTTTTATGTTTTGTTGAGGTTGGAATTTCAATAACACTTGCCTCCCACTCGCTATTTGACCACGATATTTCATTCGAGTCAACTAATGCTTCTGGTTTAGCATTTTGTAAAAGAGAAGTGGAATCCTCTTTTGGAGTTATATGAATCTTCTGTACAATTTTTGAAAGAACAGAAGGAGCAGAATTTATTGTCGTATCTTTAGTACGTGTATTATCTACTTGATTGGATGTTAACCAATATGTATTGTTCCATTGTGTATCATCATGATTGTCTTGATGTGATGAAGTTTGTTCTTGATTTAATGCCAATTCAATTTGAAAACTATCATCGGACGATGAAGTTGATCGTTTATAACTATAATTATCCGTAGAATTTTCGGTTGAGTCAGACGGTGTTACTAAATTATAATGATGAATATGTGTTGGTGCAAGAAAACCTCCTTGACCACCACTTTCGTCTGATATATATTTTCCGCCGGGATGAAATGAAGTGCTGGATGTTAAAGATTCAACACTTGAATTTCTTTGTTTCCATAATGGGTCTTCAATTTCGTCTCGATCATTAATTAAAATAGAACCCGGTATGAGTTGTTGTATTCCAGTTTTTGATAATGCACTTTAGAAAACAAATGATATATAAGTGTAAATTTCAGTTAAGAGGTAAAAAGTCAATAGTTGAAATATTCTCACCGTTGAGTATTAGCGCTCTCTATGTTTTCTTGAATCATTGGTCTTGTTACTGTAGTTATCGGTAACTGATTAACACCCCAATATGGATTTATCCATTCGTTTGGTGTTTGTTGTTTCTGGTTATCTTGAATAGACATATTATGAAGGTCATTTTCAATAGTTGGTATACTTTCAACTTCTTCGGTAGTAAAGCCTTCAATGTACATATCATTAATTGATCTAGTTAGATCTCGATCATCATCATTAATTGTTTGCATTCTTATATTAGCACCTGTAGTATGATCGAACTGTTTAATTGCTTCTTCTTGTTCAAAATCACTTGTAACATCATACCAAGTATCAGTTGCTGTTGTTCTTGATGTTGCATCTGATGTTATTGATGATGTTGTGTCACTATCGGAAGAAGCCTCCTCTGACGAGCTACGATATGGACCATTAAATAACATATTGCAATTGTGAAGAGCTATCACATTAACTAAACGTGAGCAATCCAAGTTTTAATATATACAACACCAAGAGAAAGAATGAATAGCGAAGGTTGAATGTAATAACTTAACTAAACCTATGTCTATTTTCAAGTATAAATGTGCATCAATGACGAGCCAAATTATTTATGACCATGAGAAAAAAAAAAGAAAAATAAGTCATGCATAACCGTCACATACTGAAAAAAAATATTAGGGTGAGGTCTCTTCATTGGATAAATTGAGTCATTATCACATGAAATGATGTTTTATGTTTTTTTTTTTCATTATTCTTTATCAGCATATTTATTTTTGTCTTTTTTTTAAATTCATAAATCAAACAGTATATGTATATGGAAATGTCATTTTAATTGATACAATCAAGGATAATTATCTGGTTGTCAAGACCGAGACTGATGATACGTATGTGTACACGTGAAAATAGCTCCTTTTTTTGTGGTAATAACATCCGTGCACCTATTTTTTTGCTTCTCTTCTTTTTTATACAGGCTGATAAAAGTTGTCGAGTGCATGCAACTGGATTAAAAGTCTTGTTCATTTATTCGTTCAACCAACCTACTCTCGATGTAGAGATGTTATGAAATAACTTTTTTTTTTCGTGGTGAATTGTCACACGAGAGATTGAAAAGTATGTATGATGTAATACGTAAAAGAAACGCAATGAGAGAACGAGAGACTTTTTTCTGTATATCACGTAATCGTAGGTTGCAGTCGATTGACAATTTTTCTTTTTTTTTTTTCATTCTTATTGTGGTGTCTGCCTGTATATGTAACTTACAACAATAATAAACGTTTACCGATGTTTCGAGTAAAAAAATTCGTTCGAGTAAGTTTCAAACTATCAATTAATCTATTCATGAATGACAACAATACTGATGATTGTTGTGTATGTCAACAGTAAAGCTTTTTTTTTTCCTCCCTTTTTAACCTCATTGATTGTGTACAATACGAGAACATAGAAAAAAAAAGAGGCTCAAGTAAAGCAGACGGGTCAACTCTATTAGTATATACTCTCATTGTACATCTGAGATACACAAGAAAATCGATGCCGTTTAATCGTCTACGACGTTGGGTAAACATAATTATAATTTAGATATTTTCTTAAAAATAAAAGAAATCTATAAAAAAAAAAAAAGTCAAAATATTTAAGAATTTTCTATCTTATGTCTAAACTTCTTTTTAGCGAGCATTATTGCTCTGTCGATTTGAGGTAAGCTTGAAAGTGTATCGAAAAAAAACAGAAACGCATGTTTGATCGCATGAACATCTTGGATCGAAAATGATATATTTTTTTAATTATTTTCTCGTTTAATCTTATTCTTTAATCATTATAGAATCATGTTGATGATCATGTTTATTCAACATATGATGAAGCATTTACTAGCGAATCTGTTTCATCAAAAGATACAAATAGTCATTCAAGTATATATATGTAAAATATTATATCATAAACAAAAATGAATTTTCTTATACTTTAGGTTCATCTGATGGAGGAATATCATCAGGTCATCAAAGTTGGATGAGTAGTCAAACGAATGTTTATGATCAAATATGTTATGATTCAATTCATACTAATACAGATAATAATTCTCCATCGAAATATGAAGATCAATCACCACCATATATTCCAACATATTTATCGGATGATGCAACTGAACATTATTATTATCGTTTACCAACACCATCATCTTTAATAACAAACGAAACAATTCCATTAAAATCTCATCTTACACAACAACAATCGAATTCAAAAAAAGAATTACATAAAGAATTAATTTATAAACAAAAAATGTAAATTTTAAGATTTCTCATTTGTTTTTTGCATTTTAGTATAAAGAATTCTTGATATTTTTTTTCAGGGGACAATTATTACCAAAAAAACCTGAATTACTTAATGTTTTTAAACATCGGCGTGATGAAGAAAAGAAACGTGATGATGTACGAATGCGGGAACAAACAAAATTAGAACAAATTCTTGCACGACAACGACAAAAAATTGATGAAGTATATTTCATAAAAATAAAAAATCAAATTTTTTTATTTGTGTTATTTTAGACAGAAAATGTTTGTTCAGTATCCAGTAATAAAAGTGCATATTCAAATGAATTTGAATTTGTTTATCATCGAATTCGTCAACAACAAAAAAAAACATGAATAAATTCTCTATTTTGACATTGATTTCTTTTTAATATGTTTTCTGTTCTTACAAAAAAATCATTTTTCCTTTTTTTTTCTTTCTTTCTTCTTTCAGATAGATAATACTAATAAAAAAAACACAGGCTTTGCTCAAATTTATAAAAAGAAAAGCATGTCATTTCTTCCAATTGTTATTAATATATCAAATCGATTTGTATTTTTCTTATGTCTTCTTGTTATTTTATTTCATTCACCATGCTCAACTATGATGATGCCAGGCAATTTATATGATGTTAATCCATGTGTTACATGTAAAACAATAAGTGATAAATTTGTTGAGGTATTTTTTGAATTTTGGATATTACAGAAAGGAAAAATAATTTTTCTTTGTGAATTTATAGGGTTATAGAAAGACAGCTAAAAGTAATTTTGGAGGGTAAGAATTTTATATAAGTTAAGAAATATTTTTCGCAATTTTTATGTTTGGTTTTTTGTTTAGAGGTAATACAGATTGGGAAGAGAAAAAATTGAAAGGATATGCAAAAAGGTAATGATTAAATGAAAAAAAAAATTTTTTTTTGAACTTTTGATTGCGACCACCTGTAGATATTTCATTTTTGTTAGTTAACAATAAGTTATTGAATAATACAATGATGTGAATATTCGTATAAATTATCGAGGAACTGTGACAATAACACAGATGCAATTCTTATGTGATTTCATCAGAATAAATCTTATGACTTAAAAGGATTTATGCTGGTTACGAAATATTCGAAAATTTAATGAATATTGTTAAATAATTTTTTTTTTCTATTAGCTTTCAGTATTGTATTACTCAATTATCATCGAAAAATTGAATAGGATTAAGAAAAAAATTCGGTTGTATTGATGCGATAAATCAATTCTAATATTAACAATGTTTAGTTTCATTGTATATAGACAAGAAGAACTCAAATAAAATGTTTATTTAAATAAAGCTCTTCAAACAAATGACCTTCTTAAGCTCTTCGCTATTTCATGACTTTTTTGAAGGTTCCGCTGTTTAGTTATTTCTATTTCTGGGTCACTTATTATATTAAATCTTCTCAATGAAATATTTCATGAAGTTATTTTTTTGTAAAATATTTTTGAGAAATGAATATTTTATTCGTTTCTTATAAAAATAAGTTGAACATCAACAATTTTCTTAATAGAAATTTTATTTATTGATATACAAACTCAATAGCTATCATGGAGATTACATGAAAATAATCTATTACTTGAAAGATTTTATATGGTTTTTTTTTGTATTAAATGTAAAATAAATGATATAGGATACTTGAGATCAGAGAATGACTTTCTACTTAGGCATATAAAGATACACCTAAAATGAAGCTCATTTCCTGATTTTTCAGAGCGATCATTTTGAGACTTTTTTCAAACCGCTAGAAATTCATTACAAGTATCGAATAATAGCCATACATTGTCAAAAGTGTCTATTGACGAATCGATCAGTTAACTTACATTATTGAACTAAGGATTATGAGCATTGATGATGAAACTGTCAATACAGTCTAGTGTAAAGCTTCTTGCACTAACGATATGTTTAGCAATAGAGATGTTCAAATGTTATGAATGATCAGACAGGATTAAATTTCGAAATTGTTTTGTAGAATTTGTTTTTATGTACATGAAATAGAATATTACGAATAACAATTTTTAATTAATTTTATAAATTCTCAATTGATTAAATAAATAAAAAATTATGAATTTGATTTTTAGTGAAACTCGTCTAATCGAAATAATGGAAGATGCATGTTCAAAATCCGAATCTCAAGTAAGTTTACGGCTATGTTTTAAGTATTTCGTAAAAAAATATATACGCAAATGATCGGTATGTAATTACAAAATGATCATTTAATTATATATAATTACCAATCTAATAATATATTTTATACCAATAACGAATACGAATTTGACTAATGAAAAATATCGATTTTATAAGGAGAACTTTTTCATTCATATAAAATAGGATATAGATGTGAGTTCGAGTGAGTCTTCATTTCATTCACACTCGATCTCACTTCGCACTCATACACTCTCATGATCATCGTGTTCAAGTTCCACTTTATAAATAATATCTTTTTTCATTGTCCGCATGATATAGCAGATAAATACTTGCTCTACATTAAGGTTCATAAGTAGATATGTGTGAGACCAAGTTTTTTTCTTCCCGATCATAGTCTTCGTAAATCTTTTGTAGTCCTTATCCAGGGTCTACTAGTTCGTATAGTGTTTTGAGATCATTCATTTCCAAGTGATGTTTCTGCTTTATCAACATTATTAAATTTAGCTTCGTTAACTCAATATTTTGATTTCTTTTTTTTTGGCAATATCTTTCTTTTCCATTTATTTCATCATTTTTTTCCATTACCTCTTCATCTGCTACATCACTTTCATATTGAGCAACTTGTATCATGTCCATCTTTTTTACTTTGTGGACTCTAAGACAAAGTTGCAAAACAAGGATAGAAACAAAGAGTACCTACATGTGTGTTATGACATCATCTGTACTACATGATGCAAGCAAACAAAAGGAATCAATCACACTATAATGCATTTCAATTTCTCTAATTACTCTTTGATTTAATATACAGTAAATTTTATGTACTGATCTTTAAATCTATTAACAAATCTGATTTATTTAACCTACTAATCAAATATATTGTTTCCTAAGTTTAAATTAATTTATTTCTTTTTTTTTTGCTTTTCTTAATATTAATTTCTTGTACGTTTTATTTATATAGTGTAGTACTTTTCTTGAAAAATATGAAGATCAAATTGAAGAATGGTATCAAACAACTTCACCAGAATTAATTGATAATTTTTATCAATGGTTATGTCTTGATACAGCAAAAGTTTGTTGTCCTGAAGGAACATTTGGTAAAAATTGTCGACAATGTCATTATGGTGATAATAAACGTGTGTGTTCAGGCAATGGAAACTGTGATGTAAGAATATAGAATAACTCATCTTTTTCTTTTTTTGTTTTTTGTTTTTATTTTAATTAAAACAATCATTTGATATTATTATAGGGTGATGGTACAAGATCAGGTAATGGTCGTTGTATATGTGATACAAAATATAGTGGAACAAATTGTTCAAATTGTCAAAATGGTTATACAAAATCAATAGATGAAAATAATCAAGTGATATGTTCAGGTAAAAATAAATAAAAATAATTATCTTTTTTATTGATTATTATTTAATAGATGTTGATGAATGTCGTTCAAATTTATTTATTTCACCTTGTATTTTTTATAAATGTAATAATACAGATGGTGGATATGAATGTTATGGTTTGTTATTCTTGATTATCTTGTTTTTTTGTTTTCTTTTTATGTCTTGTTTTTATTTAGGTGAACCATTCTTTCGTCAATTACCAAAAATGAGTACATTAGCTGTTCTTCTTCTTACATGTAGTATTTTAATGTATAAAGAAATGTATGGTCTTGCATCATTAGCTTGTATCATGACTAGTATAGTGTTAATACTTTTTGCAAAAAATATTTTGTGATAAAATCCGGTGTTTAGAAAAAGAAACAAAAAAAGACTTTCAAAGAAAAGAAAAAAATCATTAATAATATTTATCTTAATATATTTGCTTTTTTTTCTGTTCGTTGTTATTTTATTTTCTTATGTTGTTCTTTGTTTTTTCCTGCACTTTATCAATTTCAGTATCTCATCAAACGTTGTCTTCAATGGGATGGATTCTTTTAATTTCATATTTACTAACAGATTATGAACGAGTGATGTGAAACGGTTTTTTTTTAAATAGATTAATATCAATGTTGTAATTCAGCGTTCTGATTCTACTTTGTTTGAATCAAAAAACCACGATAAAAAAATCAAAGAAAATCTTAATGGAAAGTTTGATTATGAATCATTTGATCATATGTATCAAGCAGGACTCGTAGTGGATTGTCCGGTTCAGCCCAGAGAAATTTTTCCTTCGGATCGGACGAGCTCTGTGAGGGAAGACTGGGAGACCAAGCGGGTTTAAAATTTTGTCGGATGGCTCGGTTCGAACTTTATTTATTTTTTCAAGGAAAATTTCGTATGTAAGAAAATAGAAAAAATCTGATTTTAATTGTTAATCAATCAAAACAGACTACAATCAATTGAAAACTGTCTTTAAATCTGAAAAAACAGATTTCAATCAAAATTTAAATAGTACAATTTTAATCTGATTTTTCGTTGAAATTTCTCAAATGAATTTTGCATCTCATCACGGATAACAATCAGAAATTTTTATTATGCAAACATTTTGGAAGTTTCATTTAGCCAGTAAATAAAAGCAGAGCATTTATTCGATTCAATGACTTTCTGCATCCACATACAGGACCGAGTACACTATCAACTACATTAAGTGGCATGAGTGTTATTAAAAGAAATATACTTTTAATAGTACCATTATAAGTTGAAACGGATCGGGTCATCAAACAGTGGTTCGATTTCGAGATTTGGTACCAAGTAAATGGGGGTTCACATTTACATCTTAAAAAAGAGAAATTGAGAAAAATTAGATGTTTCTACAAAATGATTTCAAAAAGTTCTTATTGTAGAATATGAGTGTCAAAAGATCTGTAAGCCTGAAAATTTTTGTCTTTCAAACAAACGTGTACATTCTTTCCATTAACTTTCACAAGAAATAATATTAGTGTCTCCAGTAGTATTAAATATTGAATTATAGCTTTGCTCACAACGTTAATTCAAGAAGATAGAACTTATCGTTTTCAAAGAAAAACTATATTTTACAAAATATAAATTTGATCGAGTTTTTTTAGCACTGTTAAATGAGATGAATCATTATACATTGAATCTGCAATTTCTTTATGCGCGTATAAAGTTCCTATGATTAAAAGAATTTAAAAAGAAATGATTCTAATCAAAATAGCTAATATCAACTTGATTAAACTAATTCAGAATATTTGGAAACAGACAATTAAATAATTGATACAAATCATACTTTAAACACAACCTATTTATTATATTTTCTATTATTCAACCTTATTGACAATTCCATTGTTCAACATCAAACCTGTTGTTTTTTTTTATACTTAAGAAATTGAATTACATCATGCATAACTTTCTATAACCATGTAAATATTTAATTTGCATGATTTAAATTAAATAACATACAAATTTCGTCATTAAATCTGTGAATTTAAATGATCATATAAGTTCTTTAAGTGCAAATGCTTCTATACTATTATTCTCATCTTCAACATCAACCATTGAATCTATCGCTTTACAAATTCAACAAAATTGAATAAGAACTGATTGACAATATGAATCATTATTTGAACGATTTTATTACATATTCACAGCCATTTTATTCCATAAATAATTTCAAAACTTATCAAAAAATGCAATCATTCACTATCGAATTATCATCATTTACTTTTCTTTTTTCTTTTGTCTTCAAATATGAAATCTTATTCAATACCACACTTCTTTGAGAATCATATTAGCTCTAAATATAGTTCATTGTATATGACTTTTTTCCAACTGATAACAAAAAAAATTGTGTACATAGATAATAAAGACTAAATATTGTTAGATTTATATGGTTCAATATATTCAAATAAACATAGTATTAATTATTGTTTAATTAAATAAAAGATCTCATTAAATCTACATGAAATTCTAGATTATAATATAAATGTACTTGCATATCATATTGTCCTTGTCTTTAATCTAATTTCCGTAGGGTTTTTATCCTTGACTTTTCCACTAGACAATTTTCCTACACGTCAAATGACATAGAAAAAATATACTACCAATGATTTATTAACAACTGTTTGCTGGCGTCTAACGACGTAATCATTCTTATCTATACCTATCAAAGAACATAATAAAACAAAAATTCTTTTAACTATATCTGTCAACATTTATTGACAAAGACAAGGTTAAGTATCAAGAAAACAGTATGTATTTTATAACTTCATTGAATCAACTTTCATTTTTCATTAATTGTATTAATATGTTATTATAAATACATTTGACTGTCTTTCTTCTTTTGTTTCTCTTCAAGTGAGCATGATCTATACATGAGACAGCATTATTTGATGATCATTAATAAATAAAGAAAATGACTATTTAAAATCCATCTACCAATTATTTATACTATTAGCATCAATCAATCTTGTCTATCATAAAACAAACCAAGTTCTGCCTAATTGAATAAAACAAAACAAAAAAACAAAATGTCTCATCTGGCTAATGAGAATTTGATCATAAAGAATGGACCGAAAGCTTTTTATACAATATGTCCGCTTATTTTTGGTTGAATCTTCTTAAGACTAATGAGATGATCTTTTACAAGGTGAAAAAAAATAGTTTGGACGAAATTTCTTTGAAACTATCGTTATTGCAAATTGAAAATAAATGTTGACGCCTTTATTCATATATATCAACTTACAGAGCTGAAGCTACCCTATAAAATATACTATTGGAGTTTTTCTATAGATCGCTTCAATATCTTCATTTTTGAAAAATCAACTTTTGATCAAAATGCATTTTTGTATAGAAAGGAGCTCTTGGTATAGTGCCTATAATTTCATTTAGATAAATGTCACAACTTATTACCATATAAAATCTGAAAGAAAACTTATAGGAGTTAGCAGAAGTGTATTGGTTCACCATTCAATCCAGTTTCCATCCAAACTTGTTTTTCGGATCTTTCAAAGATTATGAATAAAAACTGAGATAAAATTTCTAAGTCCATGTTCAGAAAATACATAATATGTTGGTCTTAATCTACAGCTTTTGACATTTTCAATTGAACCAAAAATTAAAAAAAAATATTTTGTCTCAAAACTAACGGCTCACCTGTAATAAACAAAAAAAGTTACATTGATATGAAATAAATTTATATTGTAATGCTAAGATTACTGGTACAGTTAACAAATAAAACAAATCACACAACAATAAGGACAACACACAAAATACACGACACTATACAAAAGAAAATGTTTGTTTGTTTATTTATTTCTCTTCCGATTCTTGTTTTTTTTAATGGAATGACATAAATCTTCTTTCTTCTTTTTTTGTTTTTGTTTTTGCTTAACATTTTTTATTTAATTCTAATTGTCTAAAACGATTCATACGTTGTTCCATACGTGGTCTCCATTGAATAACAACAGATATACGATCAAGACTTAATGATGTTTGCACTTGATCATAAAAACCCATTAATAAATATTGTCGATCAAGTTTTAAACGTGGACATGAACATTGAACATCTTTACGTAATACCCATACCCATTGTTCACTATCTTGTATACGATTAAGACGATCTTTATAAACACGTATTATTGTTAATAAATATGATACCCATTGACCAGCATCATGTCGATTAGTTACACGTGCATGAATAGCTAAAAAAAACCATAGAAATAAATAATAAATTATTGATTTTAATGATTTAATTGTTTCTTTTTTTTTTTGTCAACTTACTATAATCTCGTTTACAATATTTTTTAAAATGTAAACGATGACTATAATAACGACATGCACCACAATATTCTTCCATATCTATTGATGGATTATATTGTACAAGTGTTTGATGAGTTGTTGTTGATGCAGTTGTTGGATTATTATAAATATCAGCATCTTGTTCATGATAATCATTTGTACGATCTTGTCGATGATAGGTATTATATAATGTTGGTAGCTGAAAATCATATGTTTCTAAGAGAAAAAGTTTTGGTTAAAGAAAAAAAGTTTTTTTTCCTTGTATAGCTAAACTTACTAATACATGGAGCAACAGGTGATTTTGTTTGTTGATAACCTTTCATACATCGATCACATCTTAAACCAGTAACACCATCTTTACATAGACATTGTCCTGTTGTTTGATTACAAACTTTACCACGTGAACCCACCGGATGACAATTACATTCTGAAAGCAAACAAGAAAAAAAAAAGAATTTTATTGAGTATTGACAATTACTTCAAGGTTTATGCATTAGTCTAACGAAAACATTAGTTACAAAGTAGTTTTGTGCAAGTTTTATATTGGTAGAGACACTGCAGACAAATGATTATATTTATTTTTCTTGTTATAACTCAGACGGGATAAATGTATCATAAGAAAATAATTTATGTATTTTTGTTTATGGTTACAGATTTAGTTAAGAATAGTCGACACTATACTTTTTTAACAATTATCTTTGCTCTTCACGGTTATATCTAGACCGCCAAAAGGAATGAATTTTCACTTAACCTTGACATGATGATCGGTGTTTCCTTTTGATATCATCCTGAAAAGGCCATCAATAGTTTCCTTTCTATACACATATTTCTATATGCTTCCGCTCATTGACAAATATATATATACTACATATATATATATCTTATACTCAATCATGGCAATCTAAACAATAAGGAGAAAAAAAAAGCTATCATTCTATATTTACCCCTAATGAGCAATATATATTAAGACGTAACCTAAAACAAGGCTAACCTAACTAATATATTTATATGCAAGGTTAGTACAGTTATAGTGGAACATCTGTATACAAAGACAGATTGGAAAAGGAACCTCA